CAAAAAATAAAAGACATCTCATCTTCAGAATACAAAGTTTAAGAATTGAAGGTATGTTCTTAGATTTAGAATAAAATTCAATTTTCTTTGAACTTATGAATTAAACTTCACCATTGTTTTAAAGAAAATATATACTAATCTTCATATACATATTTTTGACACAAGATATATGTATATATATTTATAACACAGAATGAGTACATAATTTCAACTATACTATCATGGAGCATTTAACCGTGGCTCTGATGCCAATGAATGTATTTAAACAACGTTTAGTACAAGATTTGTATGCCTTTGATTGTTGCAGCGGAATGAGAATTCACGACCTGAATGATTTGCTCCAAATCCTTCTTTGAATCACTAGGGAAAAAAGATAGTTTCCAAACTAAATGTTTTATTGTGTCTTTGATCTAAACTTTAGAGTTTTTATTAACCTTTTTGTTTTTTTGCTTTCTGAAGCGTCCAACAAACGAAAAGAAAATAATTAATTCAAAAAGGTGTGATTATTAATGTTAGAACAGTTACATAGTAACTATTCCTACCCCTTTTTCGATTAATACTTATCTTTTTCTTCATGTTTTTTTTATACAGAAAGAAATTCTTGGATTTTTTCGGGTTGGGTTGATCTACATAAGCGATCCAAACTTAAAACTTACAAGCTCGGTCAGAATTTTCATTAGTGCAGGTGGAGTAAGATATTCAGAAACTATGCAATGTGATATGTTGAACACTTTCAACTTTCTAAACCTCTCCAAGAGAATATCTAAAGCATGTTTAGACAACTTCGTACACCTCACGCTCAACACTTTCAAGTTTGGAAGAAATGAGACCGGTGCAACTGCAAACACGATATCACAGGGAGTCATAATCTTTAGCTCAAAAAATATTTTGCAACACCTTCCAATTTTCTCGATGATATATGCAATGTAACACCCCGTAGCAAAAACAGACCCAAAATTAGTTTTTCAGAAAAATATGCAGGTGCTAACAACGGTGGCATCGACAGACCGTAGCCTGAACCACGGTCCGTCCTGCACAACCGTCGATGGGATCAGAAACTCCTAAAAATTTCAGCCTAGCAAAATTGGTTAAGTCTTGGACGACGGACGGACTTATGGTCCGTAGGTCAAACGACGGTCTGTAGTTCGTGACTGTCGATCAAGACTCCCTTCAACCACTCTCTGACAAGAGCTATGGATGAGAATCATGGTTTGTAGGTGGACCTACGGTCCGTAGGTCTGACCGTAGGTGGAAAATTTGCGTCCAGTTAAAGGAAAATGCAGTGAGGTAAACATAAAATGATCATAACTCTTAACAAAATGTGAATTAGGTCTGCCATAACCTACCCACAGATAGATAATTGAATTATCTTTCCATATCTACCAACCTTGATAAAATCAGACCTCCGAGTAAAACGTTATGCCCATTTTAGTAAAAGTCTGTCGAACAAGCCCTCACGACGGACCCAATGACGGGGCGTCGTGCGCACGATGGACAGTTATTCCTGGCTGTTGTGAGGCCCGACAGAAACCTTCCCAGGGGTCTTTTTGACCACTCCTATTAAACCTTAAGTTACGTCGTTTTGACCCTAAATCATCATATTTTAGTCAGTTTAAGCCTAGAAACATGATTAAAACATATCCAAGTGAAATCATTAAATCAAAACTTAGTAAATTAGAAGCAAGAAAGGAGAAAAAAAAAGCTCAAGAACCCTAGTTCAAGAACGCCAGAACCTCCAGAAATTCCAGTCCCAAAACTTAAGTATTTTTCCACGGATTTCATCACCAGGCATGTGGGATTTCATTAGTGGGTTCCTTTCACCCATTAGGTTCCTAGTTTTCAGTGAGATTCTTGATTCTCTGGTTAGGATTAAACCTAGGGTTTCTAGAACTTCATGAATTTATTAGTTTTATGTTCCAAAATCAGATTATCATGTTTTTATTGTGTTTATTGCATGAATTTCAGAACCCTAGCTTTGTATTTCTTTAGTTCTTGAATTACACATGCTAGGTCAGATATTTAAGACATTTCAGATATACATGTCGCAGTTATAAATGCATAATTGCCAGATTAATTGTTGCATTCTCAGTTTGCATGTTCAGTTTTGAGCTATCCAGTATTTACAAAAATTCAGATATAATCAATTAATTTACAGAATTCATTGGGAGTAGCATAATACCGAGTTGGACTAGGAATTAGCGTACCCAATAGTTCCAAAACTACTAGCCAAGTAGGTTGTAAGTCCCCTATGTGGGCAATCAGTATAGTGATCACGCCAGCATATGTCTATTCCTTTGGCAGGGTATATTGGGTCCTCTCGATGGGGCGTATACATCGGACTCCACTTTTAGCTCATGTGGTTTTATTATCAGTTATTAGTAGCTCCCACAGTTCAGTCAGACTCTCTGCATTGACCATTTATCAGTATATTCAGTATTCAGTTTCAGCATGTTATAAACTGGTCATTGCTTCCAGTAAGCTCAAAAATCAGCATATCACGTTCAGATTATTATACTTGTTTTTGTGCTTGTTCAGTTATGTTTTATTTCAGCTTTACTCTATCTTAGATGCTCAGTACCTTTCAAGTACTGACGCATACGTGCGCTACATCTTCCCGTGATGTAGGTTCAAGTTCTCAGCATCCAGATCACGCACAGATCGATTTCCCGATCTCTAGTTCAGAAGATTCAGTGGTGAGTCCTCATTCTCCGAGGACAACAGTCATGAGTTTCATTTCAGTCTTTAGTAAATTAGTTTATGTTTTTGCTAGATTTAGCTGGGGCTTGTCTCAGTATTTCTAGTCTAGTTTAGAGACTATTTTCAGACATAGTTAGATTCAGCTAAGTATTGAGTTAATATTTCTTTTATATTAAACTCATTGTTTTCAAATATCTCAGTTATAGAATATTGGTATTCCTCATCTTTTAATTTTAAGTATGATTTATCTTCTGTAATAGTTTATTATCTTTAGTATGCTAATTATCATGCCAGTAGTATTAGCTTGGGATCACTTGTGGTCCTAGGTTCCGTGTCCGCGTCTCGAGGGTATCTCGGGGCGTGACATGCAAGTTCTTCTAAAGAATGCAATTTAATTGAACCCAAGCAACATGAGGTGATTTGAGTGGAAAGAAATTATTGGGATGCTTTAGGATAATTATTTCATAAACTATTGAGAGTTGGACTAAAGGGAACACCTGGGATTTTAATTTTATGTAACGTGAGTTACATGGAAATGTTACCAAATGTGGAAGCTCATAGTATTGATGAATGTGAACCATATAGGCTAAGATGGGGAAGCAAAGGTACATTTTACAATGAATAAATGTTATAGACAACTATGGTCACATAGTCAAGTATATGTTAGAAGATCAATCTACCAATGCAGATTAAGTTCTTCTGCTAGATCAAACTAGACAATGGGTGTCTTTCAGTAGACAACCTGAATAGGCAAGGATTTGCAGTTGGTCAACAGATGCTATTTTTCAAGGCACCTCTTTACTTCCCATGAGCTTATGATCAATGGAACATGTTCCTATATTTTTTTAATGTAAGTTGGCGATGCCACAAAGATTAAGAACCAAGATGTCTAGGAGTCTATGCAAAGTTGATAATGCTAGAATAAAATATTTGTTGTAATAAGAGTTCATGATAAACCAAAAGATGTTGTGAATAAGAGAAATATAAAAAAAATACTGATAAAGATTATGAAAACTTAACAATTCAAGTATAAAAAGATTGGTATCTACTTGAGAAAGGAGGAGGAGAAACGTGGAAACATACTGGAGAAGAGAAGCACGAGGCATGTATGATTTTGTGAAATAAAGAGTGTTATTTTAAAAGAGACTGAAAAATATGAAGACTCTCTCTTTTTCAGACGTAATCAGATTAATTAAGCGGTTTTAAGCAAAACAAAAATATCTACACTTAATTCTTACAAAAAATTACACTTGATTGCGTGAATCTGAATAATTCAGATTAAGACATCCGTTAAGTTAAAACAAATGATGCATGAAAGATGTTTGTCTCTAAGTGCTAGTTGTTAACTGATTTCCATAGTGAGGGAACTAGCATTAGAGTTTTAGCAGCTAATATGAAGCCTACATCAATCTTTTCTCTCATATAAACTGCAAATCCTTTATCTACAGAGTGTATTTGTTATATTCCTCAAAATACAAATCTTATTATGAGAAAAGAAAAGACGATATTAACCAAAACACCATTTGATCAAACCTATGAAGGTAAAAAAAGGACACTACAATTTTTTTGTATAATAATGAGAAGTTTGTATAAACATCAAAATTGTTAGTTTTGTTGAATTCCTCTAAAAGTGATAGTCTTTCCATTATATAGAGAGATAAAGTATTACAAATCCCTAAAGATCCATCATTTCTATCCCTAAATATCAGCTATTCTATCTCTATAAATATGCATTTAATCCCTCTAAATCTGATTTAATATCCCTCCAAATTAGTTATTCTATCACAATATTTATTCCTTTGATTCTACAACAAATCTATGTGATCATGCTAATTTATATCACTATATAATTACATTAATATATACAATTGCTTAGATGTCCATCATACTAACATCCCCCCTGAAATTAATGTTGGTGGATCAAGAAGCATCAATTTGCCTACTAGAAACTGATGGTGTTGTCGTGCCATGGATTTTGTAAACACATCAGCTATTTGAAGATCATTAGACACATGTAGAAGAGTAAGGAATCCTTTATCTGCAGCTTCTCGTTTCGATGTGTTTGGTTCTCTCGTGGAAAAATGGAGTAGTAGCAATCTAAATAGCACTTGTATCATCAGCATGGAGAGGAGTAGGATGAGATTCAGGAAATCAAATCTCAGCAAGTAATCCACAAAGCGATACAACCTTAGGGCAATCAATATACATGGTTCAATATTCAATCTATGTTGAAGATATTGATACACGATCTTGCGTTTTACTCTCCTAAGATATCAATGACTCTCTAAGAAACATGCACCCACCAGTGACTAAACAACGAGTATCATGACATCCTGCCCATCCAGAATCACTAAAAGCATTAAGACGAATAGGAAAATCAGTTGAAAAGAAGAATCCACGAGTAGAAGTTCCTAAAAGATACTGAATGATGTGATGAACAGGCACAAAGTGGAGATGACAGGGAGCTTGCATAAACTGACTAACTTGTTGCACTGCAAAAGAAATATTCAGTTGAGTAATAGTAAGGTGATTTAGATTTCCAAATAATTGTCGAAACATAGTTGGATGAGAAAGAAGATTGCCTTTCTCACGAAAATACTTCACATTCAATTCCAATGGAGTATCTACGGAGCAGGAATCTTGAAGACCAGCCAAAGAAATCAGATCCTTAGTATATTTGTATTGGTTTAAAAACACGCCTGAAGCAACATTATGAACTTCCAAACCCAAAAAATATGTAAGAGGATCTTTCATATGAAAAGAATCTTTAATCTTCTGTTGGAGGTTGAGAGGATCTTTCATATGAAAAGAATCTTTAAGCTTCTGTTGGAGGCTAGTGATTAGTGAAGAATCAATTCCTCTGATGATAATGTCATCTAGATACACCAAAAGAAAAACACAACATGTAGATGTTTCCCACAGAAACAAAGACGAATCATATTTTCTCCGCTCAAAAGAAAATTGTAGCAAAGTAGATCATAACTTATCAAACCAAGCTCTTCGAGTTTGTTTTAATCCATTCAAAGACCGCTTCAACTTGCGTACATATGATGTAGCGATGAGAACAACCAATGGAGGTTTCATATAAATGTCTTCTTTGAGATTACCATGGCGAAAAGCATTTTTGACATCCATTTCTTACGGGTGCAAAAGTCTCCTCATAGTCCACCCCATACTCTTGTTTGTTACCAAGAATAACCAATTGAGCTTTGTACCGATCAAGAGTTCTATTAGAATGAATTTTAATTGAATAAACCCATTAACATCCAATAGGGCGGACATTTGAAGGACATGAAACAATGTCCCATGTGTCATTTTCTATAAGAGCAAACAGTTCCTCCTCCAGTGCTTTTTGCCAATATTCGAGCTTGGAGGCTTGTGAGTAACATGTAGGAATAATGATGGTGGTTAAAGTAAAAGAAAATACATACCATTTAGGTGTTTGAGACACTATTAGTAGATCGTCGAGAAGGCTCAAGAGGAGCAGGCCTTGAAAAAATCTCAGATTCTGGTCATGGAGCAGTGTCAGGCGGCGGATCTGTTTCAGGATTGGGTAAAGTTGGACGACATCGTTCATACACAAATCTTGGTGTGAACCACTTTGAAAACAATGAAAAATCCTCAAAAGTAAGAAGAAACGGACAAATAGAAGACTCAATATGAGTAGGAAAGAAATACTGATTCTCAAAGAACATAACATTCCTAGAAACACGAAATTTGTTAGAACTTGGATCATAAAATAATCCTTTCTATGAAGTACTATAGCCCATAAAAGCATATTTAGTAGACTGGAAGAGAGTTATTGTGTTGAGAAAGAGGCAGGTGCACAAAACAAACATAACCAAATATATGAAAACTGTGATAGTTAGGATATTTGTGAAAAATACGATAATATGGAGACTCGAGGTTTAACACTTAAGATAGAAATCTATTAATCAAATAGACAGAAGTAGACACGGCTTCAACCTAATATTTAGATGGAACAGAGGACTCAATAAAGTACGAGTAATGACAGTTTTTACACTCAGCAACCCCATTTTGTTGTGGTGTATATGGGCAAGAGTGTTTTGATACAATTCCTTTCTCAAGTAGGAATTTATTTAATTCGTGAAGCATATATTCTCCACTAGAATCAGATCTTAATATTTTGATGCATGTGAAAAATTGAATCTCAATGTAAGCCAAAATTTCTTGAATATGGAAAACACTTCAAATTTTGATTGAAGAAAATACACCCATGTAAACCGACTATGGCCATATAAATGTCAAAAAGTACTTGAAATGAGCATGATAAATAACTGGTGAAATTCCCCAAACATCACGATAAATGACATCAAAATACATTGCAACACGACTACGAAAATTAGGAAAATGAAGAGTTTTACCTTTGCCTAATTTACAAGTAGAAAAATCAAAGGAAGAAACTGAAAATTAATTTTTATTTCCCAATAAACCAGATTTGGACAAATGAGATAACACAATAGAATTTGGATGTCCTAGACGTTTATGCCAAACCTAATTCTTAGCGGTGGTGGAAGCAAAAGCCTGAACACGAGGAATAGAAAAGTGTAAAGGAAACAGTCTTTCAACTTTAGGCACTTTCGCGATTATCGTCCCCCACACCTGATCCTGCACAAGGCAACTATTATGAGAAAAGTTCACATTAGAATTGTTATCTACCAATTGGCCAACTGAAATAAGACTAATGGAGAGCTTTAGTGATACAAAAACATTCTTGATAGTTCCAGTAATATCCCCAACCTTGAATATGGGTAAATTACTACCATTGGAAAGATGAATTTGTGTTGGATCATTAAAATCACGAATGTTTATGAATATATCAGTTGAGTTGGTCATATGATTGGAAGCGCTAGAATTAATAAGCCAAAATTTAGATATTACCTAATTACCTTGTATTCCCAAAGTTGAAAATGCTGACAAGATAATTTGTTGTACCAACTTGGAAAGCCTTTGCAATACAATTTTGAGGACGTGTAGGGAACTCTTTGATAATGTGTTCTAGTTGTTTAAAATAATTACAAAACTTCTTGCCACAATTGTGACCAATATGACCATATTTCTTGCAACTTTAGCATTGAGTTCTAGTCATATCCATGCCCTTTCCTTTCCATTGAGCTGCAAATGCAACAGTGACAACATTTCCTTGATAATTCTCCTCACGAAGTAATTCCCTAAAATAGACATCCAACGAAGAAGATGAATCACAACTCATAAAGTCGTAGTGAACACTTTCAAATTAATATCGTAATTTCATCAAAAATTGATCTCGCTTGCTTTGTTCATGAACTCCTTGAATGATGAAGAGAGATTCAAAAGTTATTTTAGCATAAAAAATATTGGTAAATTCAACCCATAAGTTCTGAAATTCAGAGAAATAATCTTGAACAGGGTGACCTCCTTGTGACTACATAACAATTTTATGCTCTAACTGAAATCGCCTTACACTATGCTTTTGATTCTAAATCGTTCGTAAACACTCCCACATAGCCTTTGTTGTCTTGTATGTCCTGATATTAAGAACAATAAGAGGGTCAATTGACCCTAAAATCCATGTCATCACCCGATCATCTTTAACTTTCCATTGACTGAGCTTTTTAGGATCGGTAGGAGTAGGATCGCTTCCATCTATATGTCCCCATAATTCATTTCCAGTGACAAATATTTGGAATTGAAATTCCCAGGCAGAGTTATTTTTTCTTGTGAAACTAATATGGAAAAACTCAAACTGATATAACAACATATTCTTGATAAGCTAAGAAAAATAGAAATGCAATGATGCAAAATAACTTGAATGACCAAGACTAAGATTCCAAGATACTTAGGACTAACTGGTAACTAACAATAGGCAGTACTTATACTTTTCAATTAAAAATCTTGAAAGAACCACATATGAAAGACACTAATAATCAAAGCACTGAAAATGGCTCGATACCATGTCAATTTTGCTGAATGCCTCTCAAAGTGAGAGTCTTTCCATTATATAGAGAAAATAAATATTACAAATCCTTAAAGATCTGTCATTCCTATCCCTAAATATCAGCTATTCTATCTCTACAAATCTGTCATTCAATCCCTCTAAATCTTCTTTGTATCCCTCTAAATCAGCTATTCTATTACAATATTTATTCCTTTAATTCTACAACAAATCTATATGATCATGCTAATTCATATCACTATATAATTACATTAATATATACAATTGTTTAGATGGACATCATGCTAACAAAAATAAGCTACATTCTTGATTCGAGGACTCAAATTAAATTGTTATTCAAACAAAATGAAAATTCAGATAATCAAAATCAACCTTAACAAAGAGTTAAACGTTAATCACAATAAAACACACATTTTCTAGTACCACGCTAAATTACTAATACTTATAATGCAAATTTAGAGAACCTTTCAGCTCTATATAGGCAAATATCAAATATCCAGAAAAAGGAAAAAAGAATTCCACGGGGTGTATATCGAATTCCATTAACACCCGCAACAACTTTTGGAATCAAGATCCGAATTAAGTAAGGAGTTAATCATAAAACAACCTTAGAGAATGTAAGAAGAAGATAAGACGGAGAAATTTAGGACATACCTTTAGATTGATTATTCACTTCAGTGTGCACAAAAAAATTGGGTGAAAATTGTGGGATGTTAGTGTTTTTTGATGAGGAATGAGAGTCGCATAAGAAATCTTGGTCAAATGGAAAAGGAAATGTCATACACCTGTAAATTTATTCAGGTCAACAATCTTTAATATATATATTTTTGTTATGCTACCTAAAATATAAAAGAGATTTTTTTTCAGAATTAATACTTCTAAACTCCCTAAAGTATTCACATTCTCGAGTTTAACACTTAAATTATGGGATATTGTGGACAATTGTTGTTAACCCCTAAACTATAGAACATGTGATATGGAGAGTGATAGTCAAAAATAGCATTTATGTGGACCTAGTACACTGAGTGGTCCGTCATTTCTTAGATTAACCTCGTTTAATGCACTTGTATTATTTGAACAGCAAATTATGTAAATTGATTACTTAATTTTCTTTCTATAAATATAAAAGTTAACATTTATTGGTAAGCTCTGTCCAATATAGAATTATATTAAATGTTTCTTTGTCTTAGAAAGGATTTTAGTAATGATGGATGTCTTCTTCCTTGAAGACTTAAGATATGTAGACTCTCTAAATTGCTTAACTTTCATATTCTTTCAACTAACTACTCTCGTAAAATATTCAGATTATACATTATGTAATCCTTTATGTGTCTAATCAATAAAGTGACCAATTAAACAATTAATAATGTTCACAAGTCTATCAATTCAAAGAAAACGAGACTCTTACTATTATTTATTATACAAATTAAAGTAACATTGAAAGATTATGCAGTGCTTATTATTTGAAAAAATGTCCATGGATTTTTTTCTTTTTGAAGATGATCTTTTACCTTTTCATGTTCAAGTCATTTACCTCGTCTTTCAATTTCCAATAAAATGATATTAATGGGAATCAATCAGCTACATCTTTAAAATAAGATTAGAGGAAGTTGTTATTAAAATAATTCTAATGAACATGCATTTATAATCAGGAAGAGATTTAGCCGTTTGAAATGTATCAATTGCATTATTTAGAAAATTTTCAGATAATCTTATTTGATTTTACATCAAGATTTAAGTGATACAATATGAAATTTAGACAAATCTAATGACATGTCTGCAAGTATTTGTAATATTTACATTAATGAAAAGAAAAGAGCAAACTAACAAGAAATCCCACGAATGGTATCCAAGAGTTCTTATGAGCATTATAATTTGATAATGAAAATATATAATTTTTGTCTGAGAAATATGATTTCTTCCTTTCTAAAAAAAAATTAGAAAAATGAATTATATGAGAGTTGTTAAAGTCATACTATGAACGAAAAAGGCTTTAAAATATCCTAATGCCATTGTAAAAAAAAAAAGGTTCACAACAGTCCACTATTATTTGGACTTGGACTCAAAATGATTATATTTCTTTCACATGGTGCAATATCAGTCTTACTAAATATATATGATGGTCTCGTTTGTAACTTCTTCTTTATTTTCTTCCACGTGACATGCTTATCAAAGGCGA